AATTTTGGACAAAGTATATAGAGTTTGCCTTCCCTCGCCCTTCCCTCCCTGCATATACTGCCCTATACTGATCGCGCGATTAACTTATCGATGGGAAACGAGCTCCCTTTTTTTTTAACGTTACGACATATGCCATATATATATATATATATATATATATATTATATAGTTAATAAGCGCCTCTTTCGTCGAATGGAAGAAACTTGATAAATTATGTTATTACGTCACATCGTAATCGTGGAGGAAAATGATATACATTATATCCGTTAGTAAGAGCAATAATATCGGTGGGAGGATCCATGATCCTTTAACGGTTGGCGGGGAAGAGGTATTATTAATAAACGACGTTTTCTAAAAATACAACCGAAATATGTGCGACGATGCGAGTAGATGCACTTGAATAGCGGTGGAATCGAGAGGGAGAATACGCCAAGGTGTACGAGGTACGCATTCCGATGGGCGGGTTATCAGAGACGGATCCATCCCACCTTCCATGCTGGAATGCATTTCTGTTCGTTCTTTTTTTTTTTTTCCCCTCTTTCTTCCTTCCTTTCTTTCTTTCTTTCTTTCTTTCTCTCGCTTCGAGAGGACTTAAGGCTCGTTCATACGTGCGTTACTCTCGAAAAACACATGGATACACGAGGGGAACGGGTGTCGGTCAGTGACACCGGTTTTAATCGGACCAAATGAAAGGGAACGCGCTCGATGGAAATAAGTCACCGATACTTTCTTCTTCGTTCCCACTTCGGATTATTAACACCACTGCCGTTGCTATTGGATTTTATTACGATCGAGTAATAAGCTTGATGGATCTGCAGCTGCAAGTAAAGAAAAAAAAAAAAAAAAAAAAAAAAGGAAAATTTTGCGATTAAAATTATCCGCGCAATCCCGAAGAAATTTCCCAATTTGCAAATGTGGAATTTCACGTGGAATTCTTCTCTGTAGGAAGAATTTCAAGTTGGAAGGATCGGAGAATTCATCGTGTTTGTCGAACGTACTCGATTATCATCCCTGGCTTTTTCGCCATTCCTTCCACTGGATCCGCGTAAACCGATAAACTTATCTGCATTTACGAATACTCGCGCCATTCTCTAATTATATATATATATGTGTACGTATGTGATATTCGCGGCCGGTCGAATAGAGGCAAAGTAAACGGTGTGATCTGTGTTGTCCCAAGGTGTAAGAGCGGAGGAAATAGAGAGTGACGTCAGCCCGAAATTATTGGCCTTACGTTCGATCTGGTCTTATCTTTTCAAACAAACTGCACCACTGCTTGTTCGCGCGCAAGATGTAACAATATACACGCTCACTACGTGAGCGTGTTTCTATACCACGCCGTATGCGCGCGCGCGCGTGTATCGAGTCGCGTGTAACCGAGTCGTAAACCTCCTTCTACGGAAAGCTGAATATCGATGACGTCCGTGCCTCTCTAGAACTCGAGATTCCGTAATTTTTCCCGATGGGAGACGCGTCGCCTCGCATACATCGACGCCTGCCGCTCCAACGATGCATCTCTCCCTACCCTCTCCCCCTTTTAATCGCGTTAACAAAGCGATTCAAGCGTTATATAGGAAACGGAGGTTTTCTCGGAATAACGGGTACGTGACTGTTCACGGTTCGACAAGGAAACCGAGGTCAACGATTGCGTGAAAGTAAGTAAGATTCGGTTCTCGGAGGTGCGCGTGATTAGGCCCGATGACACACACTCCGGAGAGCCGGAAGAGAAGAGAGGTTGTGGAGACGCACGAGGAGAGCCACAAAGGATCGTTGTCGGTCGAGAGAATCAGAGAGAGAGAGAGAGAGAGAGAGAGAAGGCGGTGGATGAAGAGGAGATTGAGGAATACAAGAC